TTATGTCGGTGTGCGGGGGGGTGGTGGGGGGGGGTTAATGAGTTTAGTGTCTGTTTCCTTGCTCATAATTGAAGAAATATGCATGTGGCTCATCCATTGACCTTTATATGTCCAGCACAAGTAGTATAATTTTAATAAAGGTAAAGAGTTCTTAATTTCACCTAGATAAATGGATATGAATGGCATATTTCATTCAATCTCAATGCAACTTTCATATGGATTTAGTTTTGGCATCTTTATCAGGGCTGTGATATTCATACTATAGACTGATGACGTGTTTTTTTTTTTTAATGTAGATTTCAGAATGTTAGTTAACACTGCTGTGTGAGTTGACATCTTTCTCTCTTCTTACCAATGTATCAATCTCTGCATTTTTCATCTTTTTGAAAATAGTTGAAATTCTATGGTGGATTCTTTTCTTTTGGGGCAAATGGGAATGCCAAAAATATATTTGTTGTAGTTTCTGTTCACCACTATACAAGCTGACCCAACTATGGCAACTTCTGCTTTAGAGAAACCCTGGAAATGTGAAAAGGGCCCATTGTAGTTAAGGGCCAAGTGTTAAAAGGGATAGTTCACCCCAAAAAAACGAAAATTCTGTAATTTACTCAACCTCATGTTGTTTCAAACCTGTATGTCGTTCTGTTGAGCACAAAGGAAGATATTTTGAAGAATGTTGGTAACTAATCAGTTTCGGTTCCCATTGACTTCTACTGTTCGGACCAAAAAAAAACAATAGAAGTCAATGGTAAAAATGGTTGGTTATCAACACTTCAAAATATCGTCTTTTTGTGTTCAACAACATAAAGAAATGCACACAGGTTTGGAATGGTATGAAGATGAGTAGATAAATACAGAATTTTCATTTTTGGATGAACTATCACTTTAAATTATATAAAGATATTTATTTTAATTATAATCTAGAAGCACTTCATTGGCACTGAATGTAATGCCTTCGCATTTTAACAGGAGAGATCTGTAATTGGAATACTTGTCATGAGTCTGAATTACGAATGACTCATTCTTTTAATGAAAATAAGTTTGCAAGTCCATTCTAGCATACTTTGTTAGCATTCTTTGCAAGGATTTAAAAGCATGAAAAAAAATTCTGTTTTGCTTATGCTAAAACAGACTGTTAAATAAAAAAGGCACTGCAAGATGCAAGAATTGTAATAAACATTTTAATTTATCACTGAAAAAAAGCGCAACACTACAATCTCAGTGTTCAGAATTTCTTAATATGAATCAGGACTCGTGTGGTTTCACTTTTGATGTTTTAAATACAAACTTTAGATTTTGCATAATTTCTGTACAGATACATGAGAACGTGGACATACCACATCTATAACATATAAAACCACATCAATAAAACGGTGCAAAAAAAAAAAAAGAAAAAAAAAAAGTCCCTGCACATACAAAAATAAATTAATACACTTGATCCAGTCACCAGTCTTGTGGAAAGCCTATTGGAAAAGATCTGAACACACTTACAGTGCTTTGAAACAGTCCTTCACACCACTAAGTGAATCACAAATATGTATTTACAACAGAAAAGAGGTAAAAGTGTGCTAAACTAAATCGTATTTATTCCGACAGCTTATTCTTAATCCAATATGCATCTGTAGATTTACATAGCAACAAAAGGAAAAAGGGAAAATCAGGTGTATGTACAAGACCACAAAATTATCAAGTAGGCTTTTTTCTTTTTTTATAACGTCAAACACAAGACATGTTCATCAAAATGTTTACAAGACTCAAAAGAGGTGAGAAGTTTGTACAGTAGTATAAAAACATTTTGCCAGTTGAGCATTCGAATATATCACCTTGCGCCCAACATGCAACAAATGCAAATAAATAAGAACGGAATAATAGAAAGTAGGCTTCAAAAATTATTAATGCAGCACAAAATCCGTTTTTTTTTCAGTGTAGTCACTGTACAGGCAGAGATCTCTGGGACTCTCTGAACTGGTATTGCCCGAGCGACGCCGATTGGTATTAAATCTTTTCAGAAAAAATGGATCGACTGGAGGAAAAAATAAAAAGGGAAGGAGAGAGAGAGACAGACTGGCAGAGTCTCCAGCGCGCGGCCCCTCGCTGAGAAGTTGGAGATCGCGGGCCAGGCACTTGGGCTCAGGGCCTAGTCTGTGTGTCCTGGCTTGAGAGGTAGTTGCTCTTCAAAGAGTGCAGCAGGGTCAGTGAGACAGTTTGTGGACCTTTGGGATGCCTCCTCACAGGGGAAGCTCACGATCAGGATGCAGAGAAGGCCTTCATGGTGCACAAATGTCTGATCGCTTCATCGCTTCTTAGATACACAGACGGACAAATATATAGTTTTTATTGAGATTATCGTTACGTTTCTTGTTAAAGGGGTACAGAGAGGTAACAGCGGTGAGCAGATACTGTTCCAGAAGCATCTCCATCTTACAATCCCCATCCGAGACCTCGATCTACACTTTCCGCCCAGAGCAACTTGCACCAGTGTGTCATTTTCAGCACACTGGCAGGGTGAGAGAGACCGTGTGTGTGCGTGTGCGTGCACATATTTGTGTAAGCCTGTCTTTTGGCCCCCATGGGATCCAGTAAGTTTACAGCAAGTGATTTACTCAAACTCAGTGCAGCATGTTGTTTGCCAGATGGGCATCAAACTGGCAAGTGTGTGTATATATGAAGGCTGGTGCTGGTGAGGGTTTCGTGCGGTGGGTGAATGTTCTGGTCTTGCTGCTCAGATTGCAAGGCTCTTGGGGTGGGCAGATGAGAGGGATCCATAAGACAGAACTCCTCCAAAATGTTGTTTTCTACATCAGGTCTTCTCCTGTCCTGTCACAGACACCGCCTTCTCTCCCAGTCTCTGAATAAAACACAAGCACAATTTCAATAAGTGATTCTCAAAATTTGTAAAATAAAATGTCAATAAAATCACTTTTATAATAAATATATTTTTATATAAATATATGTGACCCTGGACCACAAAACCAGTCATAAGTCGCTGGGGTATATTTGTAGCAATAGCCAACAATACATTGTATGGATCAAAATTATCGATTTTTTTTTATGCCAAAAATCATTAGGATACTAAATAAAGATCATGTTCCATGAAGATATTTTGTAAATTTCCTACTGTAAATATATCAAAAATGTATTATCATTAGTAATATGCATTGCTAAGGACTTCATTCGGAAAAATTTCTCAATATTTAGTTTTTTTTTTTGCACCTCAGCTTTCAGGTGTAAATCTGATGTATAAATAAAAAATATACAATAAATATAATACAATAATATTAATACAAAATTATAATTATTGTAAATACTATAATAATGATATATGTATATATAATTATAATAATGTAATTACAATGTATATTATATTATATTAAAATATTAATATTAAGAAAATGTTACAAAATTATATATTTATTTTAATATATTTATATTACTATATTAATATATACAATTATGAATAGATCTTATATCATTTTTATTTTCTAATAATTATTATTGTAAATGTATTACATTAATAAAACACAATACATTTGTTAGCATTTATACATGAATATAAATGTATTATAGCATTCTATTAATGTAATACATTTACAAAAATTATTGAAAATTATATAAAATAATATATATTACCACAATTATATATTCATATTAATTCATTCATATATTACATACACACAGATACATACATATATACACACACACACATATATATATATATAATATTTAATCAATCCATATTATAATTATATTATAAGTTAATACTTTTGTCTGTTTGATAAATGCAGTACCAACTCCAGTTTTAGGAGTGTTGTTGTCGTTGTGCATGGCGAGGAAGGGGTTTGTGGCGATGGCTGGCTGCGTGGCAGGCAGGAGGCTGTTGATTGGCAGCTGCTGTAGCTGAATGTCATTCTGCTGCTGCTGCTGCTGCTGCTGTTGTTGCTGCTGTTGTTGCATTAACTGATAGAGCAGAGCCTGCTGCTGTTCCTAAACAGACAGACAAACAGAGTATGATGAGATGTCTAGACAAAGACGACCCACAGCCATTAATGTAATACATTTACAAAAATTATTGAAAATTATATAAAATAATATATATTACCACAATTATATATTCATATTAATTCATTCATATATTACATACACACAGATACATACATATATACACACACACACATATATATATATATAATATTTAATCAATCCATATTATAATTATATTATAAGTTAATACTTTTGTCTGTTTGATAAATGCAGTACCAACTCCAGTTTTAGGAGTGTTGTTGTCGTTGTGCATGGCGAGGAAGGGGTTTGTGGCGATGGCTGGCTGCGTGGCAGGCAGGAGGCTGTTGATTGGCAGCTGCTGTAGCTGAATGTCATTCTGCTGCTGCTGCTGCTGTTGTTGTTGTTGCTGCTGTTGTTGTTGCATTAACTGATAGAGCAGAGCCTGCTGCTGTTCCTAAACAGACAGACAAACAGAGTATGATGAGATGTCTAGACAAAGACGGCACACCCACAGCCTGCCCACGGACCGTATGATGCATATTGCACAGAACAGTGGCAAGAGTTTCCTCAAAATTGCAATTCCAAGCTGCCAGGATGCTAAAATAAACACTTCTGAGGAAGAAGCCATTGTGTCGTATGAGTTTTGTGGCATTGAATCATCAAAAGATAAGGTGTTTGTAGGATTCTTATAAGTAAACATGCATATATTTTGTGGTCTTGGAATCATGTATTTAAATCTATTTCAGACTTATTCGCCCCTAAATGTTACATTATATATCATTCAGACAGCATCATCTTGACTAATAACAAGGATCATGGCCAAAATAAGCTGCTGTGTGGACTTTATGTTATAAGTCACATGAACAAACAGACTCTAGACTCCAAGGCTGTGTAAAGGAGTGTGTGTGCTAGTGCTCCTCTTACCGGTATGACCTGCTGAGAGTTGAAAAGCTGCTGCAGTTGGTGCTGATGGAGGAGGATCTGCCTGTGCTGATCGCTGAAAAGCCTTGCTGCACTGCAAACACATATACATAAGCCCTCATAAGCAAACTAAATTGTCAGCATTTCAGAAACTTCTTGGCCATGGCCACACAAAACTATTACATATAAAATAAAACCCCTCTGTATGCTAAAGTAAAGAGACTGTAATCATAACTAATGGTCCTGTTCTTGCCTAAGGGAGGGCTGTTTAAGCTGGAACTTGCTTTGAAAACACCAGTGGTTCAATCTTGAGTACACAATTTTGTTTCAGAGGCAGATGTACAGGCATAGGAACAAAATGAGCAAGTGAGAAAGAAAAAGCCAAAGCAAGCCAATCCTCACCTGGTTTTCGCAGTGGTCATGCTGCTGCATTCCGAAGCGAAAGCAAGAGAGATCGGGAAGCAGAAGAGTTGAAGAAAATATGAATGCATTACACAATGCCAAGCAGTATGAATGAATCTCACAAACATGTCCAAGTCACAATTCACCCCAAAATAAAAAGAAAAGAATAAATGAAAGAAAATGTTGAATTACACAAAAAAAATGCAATATATAAATAGACTATAATATATATTTCTTAAAATGAGTGATGGCTGCTGAAAATTTAGTTTTGCATCACAGGAATAAATGACATTTTATATGAAAACAGAAAAGGACTTTTTTATACTTTCATAATATTTCACAATATTACTGTTTTCACTGATTAAATAAATATGTTATAACGTATAAAAAACATAACATACATTTCATTTCTCTTTTGCTCTGGGGGTAAAATATGAACTGGCCAATTTCTTCGCAGTGGTCATGCTGCTGCATTCCGAAGCGAAAGCAAGAGAGATCGGGAAGCAGAAGAGTTGAAGAAAATATGAATGCATTACACAATGCCAAGCAGTATGAATGAATCTCACAAACATGTCCAAGTCACAATTCACCCCAAAATAAAAAGAAAAGAATAAATGAAAGAAAATGTTGAATTACACAAAAAAAATGCAATATATAAATAGACTATAATATATATTTCTTAAAATGAGTGATGGCTGCTGAAAATTTAGTTTTGCATCACAGGAATAAATGACATTTTATATGAAAACAGAAAATGACTTTTTTATACTTTCATAATATTTCACAATATTACTGTTTTCACTGATTAAATAAATATGTTATAACGTATAAAAAACAAAACATTTCTCTTTTGCTCTGGGGGTAAAATATGAACTGGCCAATTTCTTGACAGTTTTTGTGAGAAATCCACATCTCCATCAGCATCACCTGCCAGTTTATTACTAATCCAGACTGTGGCATCTAAAACATTAATTATGGATCCTCAACCAGTGCCTCCCACTCCCTCCCAAAGTAATCAAATTTACTCTTTAACAAAAAGGACTCTTAGTGCAAAGTCTAAGGCGGCAAGTGCCAGTTTGTACCTGTTACTGAGACTGTTGGACATGGGCAGGGATGTGCTGGTAGCTGCTGAGGGATGGGGCAGGGGGCTTTTATTCTGGGCCAGGCTGGGGGAGGTTTGGATGACTCCGTTTAGGGCACCCACGATGCCACTCATGGCCAGGTGGTTCCCCTGCAGAGCGCCCATCAGACCCGTCACCCCGGCTATGGCAGGCAGGGACGAGTTGGCATTGCCAGGCTGGATGGCCACCCCGGCCATGCCGACTCCGTTCATCTGCTGCTGGGGGGGACTGTGGGCCGCAGACGGAGGGGTGGAGAGAGAGGACGTGCTACTTCCGCTACTATGGCCACCAGACAGGGGATCCTGAAAGAAAGAGAAAGAATAGAGAAAGCACAAGAGTGTGAGAGAGAGAGAGAAAAGAGAGGTCAACGTGAGAGAGGCGCGCCTCCTGAACCTGTCCAACCAAATAGATACAGCATAATTTCAATCAGACTTATGCTGCAAATCATTTAAACATCACACAGCCACCAATTATCCCATGAATCTGTCATTACGATGCAATTACGTACTACACCATCTTCAATATAGGTACGTGTAATTTACATTGTAGAGAGATGGGTATGTGTAACATGGTCAAGACAACATGGTGATGAGATGACACCAACTTCATCAAGCAATAACTGTAACTATATCAACATGCAATATTTTTGGAAAATGATTTGAATTTTGTTAAAATAATTATTTTCATTGACAAAAAGGAGACAATATGTGCCTCATAACTGAATGTGACTAAAATATTACTAAAATGTCAACAGTTCTGACTGATTAAAACGACTAAAATGCCCAGACTGTCAACTAAAACTTTACTAACAGAAAACAAGTTAAGACTGACTACATATTATAAAAGCTAACAAGGACATTTGACAGGATTAAGACTAATTAAAAAATATAGATGCCAAAATGAACACTAGTGCAGGCTTATGTTCCAAAACACAACAGTAGCATCAGCCATCATTACAACTGACAGGATCCTATGGCTCAACAATAAACAGCTCTGTGCTTGAGTGCTGAGGTTCAATATTGTATACGGAAGCAACAAGCATCATTATATATCATTATATATATATATATATATATAAATCATCTCACCATCTCCTTGTGAGCCCTGTTGTAGGAGGAACTGCTGTCCTTCGTTCCATTGCCGTTCCAGCAGCTGGTCGATACTGGTGGCCACCGGGGGCAACATATCCGAACCAGATCCGAGCCCCGGAACCAACGGTCCTGACGAGTCATACCGGATATGAAGCCCACTTAACGGAGACCTAAAGTAATTTACAGAAAACAAGTGAGATATCTATACACACAAGTTTATCAAACATAGCTCAAATTTGTCTCATCATGAATTTAACATGGAAATGCATATCAGATCTGTTCACAGTGGTACAATTCAGGTTATAAATAATCAGCTTTCGCTTACAAACACACACTAGACTGCTGCTATATTAACAACACAGTTGAACTCCTGGTCTGGCGTCCTGCCTTCAGAGGCAGACGCGCTACTCAGTAAAGCCAAATAGAGTTCACAGCTTGTCCAAGTGAGAGAGCCTGGGTTTGCCTCTCTGACACCATAAATCTCAGTACGCACTTGTTTGGACAGACAGCGATCCATGTTATTATGAATACATCCAGCTCTGGGCTCTACATCAGGGCTCTTGGGTGAACGTGAATCTATCTCTGAGGTAATTACGGCTGGGCTGAGATGTGCTCCTCAAGGCAATAAATCTCCAGCATAGGACTGTGAAGCCATATCACCCTGCATGGCTGCTCCGGTGCGGATCACAGAAACGGCACATACAGATATTCGCAGTTAATCTGAAGATAGTGCAGAACTCTCCTGAATGAGATTCATGGACTAGAGATGTTTTTGGATCTTGGATCATGGATGTAGAGAAGTTTACATTTTTAACTTGAGCGACATGTTTTTAAAACACTGTGTCTTGTGCTAGACTGCAAAAGATGCAAGATGTGAGATCAGCAGACAAATACGTCCGTCTAGCACGTTTACATAGAAAAACAATCGAAAAGCAACAGAGTAGAATGCAAAAACGTGTTTAGTGTGAACGGCTTCTTGTACCTTCAGTATTAAAAAGGCTGCCATGCAAACAGACAAACTGACACGCTCAGAGTTTATAGCAATATTGTGCTAAATGCATTTCTCAAACTCACATTACGACTAAAAAGACTAAATTGATCTGAAAAGTCAAATACAGCATTTTAAAATAATATATAGTTTATATTAATATCCATACATTACATACACTAAAGCAGCAATGAAAGTACACCAAATAAACCCACTTTTTAAATAACAGAAGCAATCTAAATGAAACTCAGAAAATCAACATACCTTTTCAACCAAACATATTATATCCCAGAGGCATTTTTGTGCAGTATATATATATGCTTCCATATAAATCCATTTTATATCCTTAATCACAGCGCAAAAAAGGCTACACCTCAAGTTACAGAAAATGAATGCAATGTTTCTTCCTGCGTTCAAAGACATCGCTGCCACGTCGAACTCTGAAACCGGCTTGTAACTGCGATATGGACAACAGCTGCGTGCTCAAAACGCCTGCTGCTCAGAAGGTGAGTGTGCAAGGGAGGAAACGGAGTGAGTGAATGAGTGTGTTCTGTGGGGGAGGGAGGGAGGGTGGAATCTCGGAGCCTGGAGGAGGGGAAGTCTAGCTCTGGAATGTAAATAGGACTTACCGAGGGGAGAGGTTTGTCTTTGGTGAGTTTCCTCTTCTGGAGAAGCCGAGAGCTCCGTCTCCTAGCTCCTGATCTGAAAGGTAAACAGAGAGCAGTCGATAAGGAGCCGGCGTGAAGATGTGGGCGTTAGAGGAGCCTGGGAAATGCAGGGACGGGCAGCTCGATTCAAAGTGAGCCTGGTAGCCATCAGATCTTCCTCACAGAAATCCATCTAGGGGCGGCAGAGTGGTCTCTCTGGCGGCTCAGCTTGCACACTGACACCACTGAGTGTGTCACTGAGTCACCTCTCTCTCTCTCTTCCCCTCCCTCCAGCTCTTTCTTCCCTGTGGAGGCTCCCATCACCCTGCCTGCAGGCCCCATGCCAGACACTGCTTTTCATTTTCGGCAGCGAAAGTAATGAATCACATATGCGCCTCGCCAAGCACAACCCCCTCTCTTTTTTGTCTCCCCACCCCCCTCCAGTCACAGTTAGCCAATCCCATTTTTCTCTTCCTCCCTGCTTCCTTGCCCCCTTCTTTTCCTTTTTCACCCCATCTTGTTCTTTTTAACACTTTCCAGCCCACTACCACCTCGAGCGCAGGCTGGCTCCAGTGGGGGTGTGGGCACATCAGTACGAGCCGCCCAAGGTCTGGTCTGACTTATTATGGTGCTGACCCCTTGCCTGACCCTGGATCAGCCCCGGGGCTGCAGTGCAGACTGGACCCGAAAGCATCGGGTATCACTTTACAAAATAAAAAAAAGACAGAAAGAACAGGAACTGAACGACACAGTGGAAACCTATGAGGAGCAACAGGTGACCAGCGGTTAGAGGGAAGCACAAGTACTTTGCAAAAGTAAACAAGCCTTGTGTCACAGGCACAGCCTCACTGATATCATTATACATTTTTAAGTTTTTTTTTAAGTGACCAACACCAATATCTAGACAACAGGGTGGCCAATGGCTGACATTTATTAAATGACATCAAATTAGATAAGGTGTAAACAAATTTCCTAAATATTTATAAAATATTTATTCAAAAATGCACTAAAAATAAAAAGTACACATATATTATTACCATTAATTTATATCATACTTTATATAATACAATAGATTAGATATTGTAATAGATTTACATTTAGAATATGTTTACATTATTTGTTATATTTATAAACTATAAAGTTATACGTGTGCAAGGGAGGAAACGGAGTGAGTGAATGAGTGTGTTCTGTGGGGGAGGTAGGGAGGGCGAGTGAAATCTCAGAGCCTGGAGGAGGGGAAGTCTAGCTCTGGAATGTAAATAGGACTTACCGAGGGGAGAGGTTTGTCTTTGGTGAGTTTCCTCTTCTGGAGAAGCCGAGAGCTCCGTCTCCTAGCTCCTGATCTGAAAGGTAAACAGAGAGCAGTCGATAAGGAGCCGGCGTGAAGATGTGGGCGTTAGAGGAGCCTGGGAAATGCAGGGACGGGCAGCTCGATTCAAAGTGAGCCTGGTAGCCATCAGATCTTCCTCACAGAAATCCATCTAGGGGCGGCAGAGTGGTCTCTCTGGTGGCTCAGCTTGCACACTGACACCACTGAGTGCGTCACTGAGTCACCTCTCTCTCTCTCTTCCCCTCCCTCCAGCTCTTTCTTCCCTGTGGAGGCTCCCATCACCCTGCCTGCAGGCCCCATGCCAGACACTGCTTTTCATTTTCGGCAGCGAAAGTAATGAATCACATATGCGCCTCGCCAAGCACAACCCCCTCTCTTTTTTGTCTCCCCACCCCCCTCCAGTCACAGTTAGCCAATCCCATTTTTCTCTTCCTCCCTGCTTCCTTCCCCCCTTCTTTTCCTTTTTCACCCCGTCTTGTTCTTTTTAACACTTTCCAGCCCACTACCACCTCGAGCGCAGGCTGGCTCCAGTGGGGGTGTGGGCACATCAGTACGAGCCGCCCAAGGTCTGACTTATTATGGTGCTGACCTCTTGCCTGACCCTGGATCAGTCCCCGGGGCTGCAGTGCAGACTGGACCCGAAAGCATCGGGTATCACTTTACAAAATAAAAAAAAGACAGAAAGAACAGGAACTGAACGACACAGTGGAAACCTATGAGGAGCAACAGGTGACCAGCGGTTAGAGGGAAGCACAAGTACTTTGCAAAAGTAAACAAGCCTTGTGTCACAGGCACAGCCTCACTGATATCATTATACATTTTTAAGTTTTTTTTTAAGTGACCAACACCAATATCTAGACAACAGGGTGGCCAATGGCTGACATTTATTAAATGACATCAAATTAGATAAGGTGTAAACAAATTTCCTAAATATTTATAAAATATTTATTCAAAAATGCACTAAAAATAAAAAGTACACATATATTATTACCATTAATTTATATCATACTTTATATAATACAATAGATTAGATATTGTAATAGATTTACATTTAGAATATGTTTACATTATTTGTTATATTTATAAACTATAAAGTTATACGTACGTGTGTGTGTGTATACACACAACCATTCAAAGAAATCTCTTATGCTCTCCAGGGCTGCATTTATTTGATCAAAAATACAGTAATATTATACATTATTATTATTTAAATTGAAAATCTAAAATCTATTTTAATATATTTTAAAATGTAATTTATTTCTGCAATTATTTCGGCAAAGATGAATTTTCTGCAGCCATTACTACAGTCTTCCATGTGAAATGACCCTCCAGAAATCATCATAATATGCTGATTTTTATTAAATTCTTTTTTTTTTATCATACTGACTCTAAACTTCAGAACGAATATATATCAAAATGTTGACATATAAACCAAATTAACAACCCGCTCAATATATATCCCCTACTTTATACGTGCTGCGCTGTAAACTAATGCCAGACAAGAACTGGGCTTATGCTAATAGCATGCAAGCTTTGCAGTCTTGAGCGGTGGTCTCTTTAAGGACGGGTGTTCTTCCTCCTATTGTTAGTCAAATGGCCCCCTGACCTCTGTTTGGGGAGGAGGGCATGACTGATCCATTATTCCTCAAAGGCTGTGTTCCCCTTTTTTCCTCTCTCTCTCTCTTGCTTTCAACTGGTCCCCACCCCAACCCCCATGACAGGGTCCTGCAAGCCCATTCGCGCATGACTGAGACCCCCAAGGTTTAGGCAGGGTCCAGGGAAAGTGTTGAGTGGTCCGGGATGGAGGGAAGAAGGAGGGAGAGGCTGAGTGTAAGGTAAGCCTGCCTCCTAAACCCAGGGCAATCCCCTCTGTGTCATCACTGCTGTCATTGTGCAGATTAATGAAATGTTTGAGTGGTAGCATGCTTCATTTAACAGGTATGCACACTTTCAGCTTTCTGTCCCGGGGAGTTTTGTTCTCTGCCTCTCCCTCTCACTGCGACCTGAGGAGGTTAGGAGGGGGGATACAGCTGACCACACATTCCATATGCACAAGAGAGCGGAGAAAGAATGGGAGGATGAGGAGAAATGGGAGAAGAGAGCACAGGAAGCAGGGTTAAAGGATTTGAGAAGGTAATCCTGTGCCAATGGGAGGTACCGGCTAAAGATCAGTGTGGTTCCTCATCTGTGTGTCTCACCTGCCGGGGAGCCCTCGGACTGGGCGATCAGTGCAGCCATGGTGGAATTCGGATTCAGCCTGTTTCCAAACATATGGGTTGGCGCCAGGTTAAAGGATCCCGGGAGAGAGTTTGACTAAGGAAGAAACACATAAGAAAGAGAGTTAGACTATGGAACACTGTCAAATTCCAAATACTGATGGAGCGCAAGTATGTGTCTCTGCATGTGTGCATATGAATGTGTGCTAGAGTGTTGAGCCAAAGAGCTGGATGATAAAACACCATGTCAGCTGTATTTCCTGTGAGCCAGGAGAATTGGCTGAGCATGCAACAGCAGATCCACAGCCCTGAACAACATACAGACCATGTGCTTCTGCAGTTAATTATTTAATACAATTAAGCCATTTCCCTAACAATGGTTGGGATTGGTTTTGGTGTTGCTTCTGAGGTAGCAGCATATGTGCAATAACAAACTTGGTGCATGGTGGAAACCACACAAATGTTCACATGATTTGCACTTAAATAACACTTTTGCAGTGGAATAATGTTGTAAATAGCAGGGAACTGTTGGGAAGTTTTATTCAAATTTTACATAAATATAGATGATTACTCCTATTTATTCCAATTTACAGACTACACCATTTATTCAACAAGGATGCGGTATATTGATCAAAAGTGAAACTAAAGACATGTATTTATAACAAAAGATTTCTATTTCAAATAAATGTCAATTCATCCAAAAAAATCCTGAAAAAATGTTTCACATCTTCCACAAATCGATTAAGCAACATAACTGTTCAAAACTGGTAATAATAGTAAATGTTTCTTGACCACCAAATCAGCATATTGGAATGATTTCTGAAGGATTATGTGACACTAAAGTCTCGAGTAATGGCTGCTGAAAATACATTTTAAAATACATAAAAAAAATTAAAAAAAATGTTCATTTAAATTGTAATAATATTTCACAATATTACTGCAACCCCCATGACAGGGTCCTGCAAGCCCATTCGCGCATGACTGAGACCCCCAAGGTTTAGGCAGGGTCCAGGGAAAGTGTTGAGTGGTCCGGGATGGAGGGAAGAAGGAGGGAGAGGCTGAGTGTAAGGTAAGCCTGCCTCCTAAACCCAGGGCAATCCCCTCTGTGTCATCACTGCTGTCATTGTGCAGATTAATGAAATGTTTGAGTGGTAGCATGCTTCATTTAACAGGTATGCACACTTTCAGCTTTCTGTCCCGGGGAGTTTTGTTCTCTGCCTCTCCCGCTCTCTGCGACCTCAGGAGGTTAGGAGGGGGATACAGCTGACCACACATTCCATATGCACAGGGGAGCGGAGAAAGAATGGGAGGATGAGGAGAAATGGGAGAAGAGAGCGCAGGAAGCAGGAGGAATGGATTTTGAGAAGGTAATCCTGCGCCAGTGGGAGGTACCGGCTAAAGATCAGCATGGTTCCTCGTCTGTGCGTCTCACCTGCCGGGGAGCCCTCGGACTGGGCGATCAGTGCAGCCATGGTGGAATTCGGATTCAGCCTGTTTCCAAACATATGGGTTGGCGCCAGGTTAAAGGATCCCGGGAGAGAGTTTGACTAAGGAAGAAACACATAAGAAAGAGAGTTAGACTATGGAACACTGTCAAATTCCAAATACTGATGGAGCGCAAGTATGTGTCTCTGCATGTGTGCATATGAATGTGTGCTAGAGTGTTGAGCCAAAGAGCTGGATGATAAAACACCATGTCAGCTGTATTTCCTGTGAGCCAGGAGAATTGGCTGAGCATGCAACAGCAGATCCACAGCCCTGAACAACATACAGACCATGTGCTTCTGCAGTTAATTATTTAATACAATTAAGCCATTTCCCTAACAATGGTTGGGATTGGTTTTGGTGTTGCTTCTGAGGTAGCAGCATATGTGCAATAACAAACTTGGTGCATGGTGGAAACCACACAAATGTTCACATGATTTGCACTTAAATAACACTTTTGCAGTGGAATAATGTTGTAAATAGTAGGGATCTGTTGGGAAGTTTTATTCAAATTTTACATAAATATAGATGATTACTCCTATTTATTCCAATTTACAGACTACACCATTTATTCAACAAGGATGCGGTATATTGATCAAAAGTGAAAGTAAAAGACATGTATTTATAACAAAAGACTTCCATTTCAAATAAATGTCAATTCATCCAAAAAAATCCTGAAAAAATGTTTCACATCTTCCACAAATCGATTAAGCAACATAACTGTTCAAAACTGGTAATAATAGTAAATGTTTCTTGACCACCAAATCAGCATATTGGAATGATTTCTGAAGGATTATGTGACACTAAAGTCTCGAGTAATGGCTGCTGAAAATACATTTTAAAATACATAAACATTTTTAAAAAAAAAGTTCATTTAAATTGTAATAATATTTCACAATATTACTGTTTTTACTTTATTTCCCATCAAATAAATATAGCCTTGGTCCTTTTGGGGGAAAAAAATGCATACAGTGCTTATTTTCATCAAATCAATAAATTCTTTCCTTTTCCTTTGCTCGCTTTATCTACACCAAGGCCTTATCTGATCCAAACAGGAAATAACGCTAGCTGAAATGACAATGTATTGGATTTCTTGCTGTTACTATATAATAATGTCTTTATGTGTAACTTAAGGATTTCTGACCATATTGGACTGAAACACATTAGGTGGAAATCACTCCTACAAATGACCATTGAATAGACAACTATACAATGCCAACGTTTAAACCAACCTTGAAAACATTCTTCTTTTATGGATCTTCTACTAAGAAATAAAGGATGTAAAAATGTGATTTATGGTGCTAAAACATGGAGCAAAAAAAAGGTTATTTGATCCTGACACTGAATTTGAACTGCCTTAGCTATTAAAAAAAAACAACAAAAAAAAACTTGCGTTTAATAACAATAAAAACGGTCTTCAAAGTCTTTAAGATTTTTTTTTTTACATGTTTACTACTAAAAAAAAAAAAAAGTGATAACCTACATTCCCCAGGCCCCTCATATCCCCGCAGGCCCTCCCCATTCCTCAGACTCCTCTTTCAGACCGCGTGGAGAGAGGAGGGAGCATGACCAGTATGAAGAGAACCCCTCATCCCACTACACAGCTCTCTGTCCAGCCTGTCAGCCCCCATCCCGTCAGCGAGCTCAGCTCAATGCGCCCGCACAGGGAAAAGAGGGACAGCCGGATTGTTTGAGGCTTAGGGCTCTCAGCACCATTGTGGAGGTTAACGAAGAGTGGGACAGAGGTGGGCCTATGGGGTGTGCGCTGGGGCCAAAGGTCACTGCTGCCCTGTTGCAACCTCTGAATTTTTTTCGTCCAACCAATCCACAAAGGGAGAGTTTTAAATACATCACCATTTACTGATCTTCTAACTACAACCTAGTGAAGAAAAAAGCTCATTGTATTAAATCTCCTATGCCATAAAGCTTAGGACTAATGGGGATATTTGCAAGAGTGCGCTATGAGGAGCTGGTCTGGCGGGAGCCCTGCAGCATTAAGGCCATCAGTGGGTTTACTTCATCTCCTAATGTAAGGCCACCCTGCCTGCAGAGAGAGCAGATCTGAACAAACAAAGCCCTGTTGCCTGGAAACGACCGGTTGCTACAGCAGCGCAAGTCAAGACAAAGATGCCCAGGAGAGCAGCAGAGATGGTGCTCAGTCTCTAGTGCGCTTCCAAAGGGCCCATTTGGAGCTGTGCTTGGAGCCTGTAAGAATGACTTGACGTTATTATTGTCATCTGAACACATGCAGTAGTCCATCCATGTGTGGGAGGGATTCTTAAGTCATTTATGATTTATGAAGGTATTTATTCATAATTTTTTGTAACATTATAAATTCACTATTTCCATTCGCTATTTAAATGCTGTTCTTCCAAAATTTCTATTCAACAAATAATCCTGAAAAATGTATCACAGTGTAAACAAAAATATTAAGCAGCAAAAACGTTTTAACACTGATAAGAAATGTTTCTTGAGCACCAAAATCAGCATATTAGTGTTATCATGTGACAGTGAAAACTGGAGTAATGGCTGCTGACAATTCAGCTTTGCCATCACAAGAATAAATTACATTTAAAAATGTATATAAAAAAAAAAAGCTACTTTAAGCTGTTCTTACTGTATTTTTCATCCAATTAATGCAGCCTTGGCGAGCAAAAGTTGCTGTTCTTCCAAAATTTCTATTCAACAAATAATCCTGAAAAATGTATCACAGTGTAAACAAAAATATTAAGCAGCAAAAACGTTTTAACACTGATAAGAAATGTTTCTTGAGCACCAAAATCAGCATATTAGTGTTATCATGTGACAGTGAAAACTGGAGTAATGGCTGCTGACAATTCAGCTTTGCCATCACAAGAATAAATTACATTTAAAAATGTATAAAAAAAAAAAAAGCTACTTTAAGCTGTTCTTACTGTATTTTTCATCCAATTAATGCAGCCTTGGCGATCAAAAGTGACTTCTTTCAAAAACATTAAAAAAATCTTACCAAACCTCAAACTCCTAAACACACACACACATATACATAATTACTGACTCAAAGCAATAATATAGCCAACATAAAGACAATTATGGCACTTTTCTCACAATGTCATGTCTGTTTATTTGACCACACATAATGCTCTGACTAGCTAATACAAACACAATCGAAACAACCTGACGTTCATCCGTTAAGACCATATACTTAAGCAGCCTAGTCATAAATACTCTAAATGACTCAAAACACTATCGTTCAAGAGCTGAAAAATGAGGTCTGAAGAGATGAACTTTACTTCTCACACTGACATGTTATGTACCATTGTGGCCCAAAGACGGCCTCCCGCATACTGTTAACATACTGCTGCGATTATATAAATATTGCATTATCTATCACAAATCCTGGCACTTGCGAACCAAATTCATTTGTTCTGTAGAAAGAAAAAATCCCGTCACAAAGAAAAATAAAGTTACTTAATACATAAATAGCTGCACCCAATGTTTACATCTGAGCCTTTTAGGAGTTAATTACTTTTTGTGCCATGAACATGCTCAAACAGCATTTATCTAGATAAAACTGGAGCAAATTAGCACACAGTACAAAGAAAATGAGTATAATTCTATTTAATTGGTTAATTTTGTGAGAGATTATGTATAAAGGATATGTGTGTGCTCTGTGCTGAAAGCTCAGTGTGATTAACAGTACAATATTTGTTCGCAGATGTTTATTTATTTTTATTTTTTTATAAAATCTAGGTATGGACTTTTTGCAGATATACACTACTGTTCAAATGTTTGGTGTTGGAAAAATTTATAAATGTTTTTTGAAAAACTGTTTTATGCTCACAAAGACTGCATTTATTTAATAAAAAACAGTAATATTTTTAAATTCTATTACAATTTCAAATCATTTATTCCTGTAACGGCAAAGCTGAATTATCAGCAGCCATTACTCCAGCCTTCAGTGTCACTTGATCATTCAGAAATCATTCTAATAGTGTTCAATTTCAGCCTGGAGTCACATTTTAATGCTTGTAATAATTTTAATCTTTCTTATATTCATTTGCCCATTTCACTAAAACCAAACCTGAATTTAAATAATCGAACAAACATATACAGAGTGAGCACTGAGCATGAATATGTAATAAGGTCCATTAAACACTCACATGTGTGGATGAGGTGCTGGTGAAGGGGGCGGTCGGGGGCAGTGAGGTGAGAGTGGGCATGGAAGTGACTACTGACTGATGAGCAGGTAACTCAGAGTTGGATCCGGACAGAGACCCTCCAAACACCGCACTGGGCAATGGGCAGGCTACATCACTACTGCTGGTGTACGAACCTGCAGAAAGACAGCAATTACAGCAAATGATTAAAGTGAAACAGCACATTTTCAATGATAATCACTTAGCCAAACATTCTCTTTTGGTTCCCACATAGTCAAAAATAACATTGTCTTGTTTATCAGCAGGAGATCTGGCATAGCAACTGGGGGATGTTAAACAAATCAACGCAGGTTATGACCTGTAATCTAGTGGTAAAAACAAAGTTTTAATAGCTGTAAGGGCAACCTCTGTCCTCCAATATACCTTCACTGGTTATCCATCTATCTTTCCCGCTGCCCCTGAGATGAACTTTGTGGACTTTGAATGGTCTGTCTGACCAGGCCCTCATCACAGCAGACATCGAGAGCGAGCACAAAGCATTTTGGAGTCCTCTCAACATGCACTCTGCATCAGCCTCCCAGTGACCCAGAAAACAGTTCCCTGAATCTGACGACTCACTATTTCTTCTGTAAAAATGACTGAGGGCTTTTCAGGCAGGGCTGGGGAGGAGTGCGGCCCATTCATATTTATGGGCCGGTTCATGATATGCACGCTGTTTGTGGTTGCTGTTGTTTTATAGATTTTTTTCCCCTTTTCTCTCTCCCTCCTCCCCTGCCACCATCTCAAATAAACCCAGCTGATGGCCCAGGCTGACCCATTGCAGGAACGAGAGAGGCCCCCTTGCCACACAAAGGAATGAATGGCTCGCGGCAGTCTACATTCACTGGTGAAACAAGGAAACATTGTTGGGCGGAGAAGTACCACGTGAAGCATTTACTGTACCAATCTCCAAACTCCACATAGGGCATATGTAATAGAGAAAGGAAGCTTAAATATCACGGTGTCACGGTATTCCATTTAATCCCAATTGGTTTTAGTTTTGGGAGATGTGTGAATACCAACAGCTAACTTGGCTCATTAATGATTAGATTAATCTTTAAATCATAGTGTTGATCTGGTAATCTGGTTAATAATTAACATTTCACGAAAGGTCAACCAACGGAGCATTTGATTAGAGGTTACAAGACATGAGCGACCAAACAAAGCAAGGACAAAGATCCTGTTATCTGGTGCTGATCGAACGGCCCGATCGATCAGGACTTAACATTTCCTCTTGAAACCCCCCTTATCAAATCAGGGGAAGAGAGGGGAAATTTCAAATTAGATTAGCCAGCATTTCAAGTCAAAACCCCTGTCTCCTCTCTCAGCAGAAAATCCATGCGAGTTCAGAGGGAGGTTAATGACGAGGCTCAGAACCTGATAAGGATCCTCAGCGCTTTCCTTACAGACGAAGAGAAGAAAGCAGGGACTGATTTGAGGTATTGTTGCACGCTGGCAGAACATATTTAGGCCTTTGACGAGGCAGATGTTTTTAATTTAAATGTGGTATCTTGAGCAGTTATCAATGTCTTGAAGTGTTTTGCGTTGGGTTTCTAGCTTCAAGATATGTTCTATCACAAGCAAACAGTCAGGGTTGACATCTCTAAAGCATGCCGACTGAAAGCAAAGATAAGTTATAGTGCATGGCTTCAGTTAATGCAGCAAATGCATGCACTGCTCAGGATGGCTCCATAGTTTCATCCCGAGTAATAAATCCAGGGATAAAGGGATAGTTCACCCAAAAATGAAAATTCTGTCATTATTTGTATTAGGTTGTTCCAAACCTGTGTGACTTTCTTCAGTGGAACATAAAAGATATTCTGAAAAACGTCTCAATGTTTTGTGTCCATGTAAAAGTCAATGGGGTCCAAATGTTGACTTTCAATGTGTGGATAAAAAAAAAATGGTTAAAACGTTCTTCAAAATCAGCTTGTTCAAAAAGCGAAAGAAAATCATACACTGTAACATGTTTTTGCATTTAAAAATGCAAGACGCAGGGCATTTTAAAGTGCTAGACTATTATTATTACATTTAAAAACAAAAGAAAACCAGCTCAAAAACTGCCATTTTGTGTGAACAGAACAGCCCTTAAAGGCTGGAATACACTACACAACTTTTACCCCGATTTTCTCCCCTGATAAACCAGCCATCCATCAAACAAGAAAAAAGAGCTGGGAGCCATTGAGGGAGGGTGAAACAGATAGATGAGGTGGAGCACTCTGCTGTAGCCCTGCATTAGCCATGGCTAAATATTTACAGTCCAGCCAAATGCCAGGAACAGGTGAGGGCAGCGATGGGTGGGAGCACAAACAAACACAAAAAACCCACATGGCCTTGAGAGAAGGGACAGGGCAATAGTGAGATGGTACATAATAGGAATGACAGAGAAAAAGACACACCAGAGTATTCAAGTTCTAATCAGAAGGAAAGGAACTAAAAAAATGGTTGCCAAGCAACAGGGCAGTGCCACAGATAAGGCCCCTTTAACATTATAGCTGCCATGCGTACGCAGAGCACTTATGTCAATGGCAAGATTTAGCAGGTGAGAGAGAGAGGAAGTGCCTGCAAATGAGTGAGAAAGAACGGTGTGACCATGTATTTAGGTGTTCTGGCTCCAGCTCAGTGAGCGGGAAGGCCAGTAGGGGTCAGGGCATTTCTACACTCACTATCTCAAGCCGTCTCACTCTAGATCCCGAGAAAAAACAACATCAGCGAGGAACAAATACAATTTTAACTAATTGCCTGTTACGGGCTCCTTCCCTCCTCCAGCTCCCTTGGGCTCAACAGGTTAATGTGCATCTCTATGGCGATTCAGCGGGCCACTCTAAGCTCTCAATCAGGTAGGAAAGAGGAAGCACTTTAGAGAGCACCTCCATCCACTTTTACCCTAATGAACTTCAGCACAGACCAAAACAACATCATGCTGGTTCCCAGGCCTCTCTTCGAGAAGAGCAGACCTCAAATGGATTCCTTTTATATATTTTTTTTAATAAACAGAGATGGAAAAAATGCGATTCAGGGAAAGATAAAGATGAATCACATGAATTGAACTGAATGCGATATTGAAAAGACCCTCCATGTGTAATTCCTGAAAAATAATTATCTCAGATAGACCAAAACATGCCAATTTATAATAGCCTATGTTTATAGGCTTCCGTGCACATTTATGAATAAGAGTCCATGAACAAACTGCAAAGGTAAAAGAGCGAGAGATAGAAAGAAAGCTGGGAAATATTAGGAGAGAACTTTTAGATTTATGAGTATGTAACATATTAAAAAAGAAAAAAAAAAACTTCAGTCATGGTAGACGTCATTTGTTAGGGCTGCACGATTAATCGCATGCGATTGTCATGCGCATCTCATCAGTAAAGCCGGTTCTGTGATTAGTAGTAAATCTCCATCAGGTGTGTTCAGATGGAGTGGCATTTACTACACAGAGCCGTTGTTCACTGACAAGCTACGCAATATCACGTTCATAATCGCAGATGAATGGCTGAAATGTAATTTGAAAGGAATGAAAATGAGGATGTGGAAGATATATATATTAGGGGTGTCCCTGACTAAGGATTTTCATAGTCAAATCGGAATTTTCGAATCTTGCCGATATTCGACTGATAGTCGAATCATATGTTTTGGGGGCGGGGCAAAATACATTACCAAGAGTCAAGTCAGACATTCGACAGTCATAAATACTGACGTTAACACACAGGGAAAATGTGTAATGGACGCCTCGCAGATACAAACGGGGTAAATAATGTTTTATGTTTTGATTAAAAGATAGTTAACATTGAACGTCAGCGAAACCTTAAGAATTCACAACATTTTTTACAATAGTGCTCTCATTATAATGTGAGCAATATTATGTATATGACAGTAGTTATTAATGTTCTGCATTTCTGTTTTGAGCTGCGCGCGCTGAAGATGACCAGTAGAGTGATGCATTTTTATAGCAGGTTTTTAATCAATGGGATTTAACTCAT